TTTCAGATAAATCTTCAGATAACTGGCAATTATGATTTTATGCCACAATATGAACAAGTATCGTTATCTGAAGCGTAGCTGATTTAGTAGCGCTATATACAGAAGAACATGGCGTCTAAAATCTAGCTCAGCGCTGCGCCGTTCCGCCATAATCTTCCCTAGTGCCACTAAAAAAGCTATGCTTCAGGGTAAAGACACTTGTCCATATTGTGACTAAAAATCATGGCTGCCAGTTATCTAAAAAAATATCTGAAATCACGGGAAACGCTTTTACGTCCTCCACAGATGTTTAAATGCTTCGCGACAGAGGAAAGGAATATTACATAAGCTACCTAACACAGAATCAAATGCCGAGGAAGTCGCACTTTTGAATCATGACGATCGGCAGATGGCGGCGCCCACAGCAGTATTGGGGAACAGGGTGCAGACCCTAAGCATAGCTCAGAGGTTCACACTTCTGCGCGTCCAGTCAAAAGCAACAAGAAGCAACCGTTTCCCACACGTGAACTGTACCAAGGAGTTCTCTGTCCAAGCAAGTGGCGCGGCTCTAGTACTCATCCACAATCGCGCGCCAAGTGCACAGCAGCTGACAAGATTGGCGACGGGTATGGCGAGAAAGGACACTTTCACTCCCATACACAAAGCCATGTCGCACTCGAGTTATCCTCGTAAATTCCATAAGTTGAAGGCGCTGCCGGCCAGTGCAGACTAAATTCATATGATGAAATTCACGCTTACAAGTACCGGCAACCAGGCACGTAGCCAAGATTTTGTTTCGAATTAGGGGGGGGGGGGGGGTGGGCGGGGCACCTTATGACAAAATGCTGTCTGAGGGGGAGGGGGAGATGAGGTCCCAGCAAAATAGAAGATTTCGAAGTCATGGGACCTCCCCCCCCTCCCCCCTCTGGCTGCGTGCCTGCCGCCAACCCTTAATTGTTGTGGAAACGCGAAAGACACGTGCGAGGAGCGGGTGCTCCGCTGCCTTTCGCTTCCAAGGGCCGCTCATTTAAGTGCTGGTCCGTCATTTGCTTCCAAGGGCCGCTTGAAACACGGGCCTCGTGCACTGGCTCATTTGACGCCACTTGCAAGTCAAACGCAAGCACATCGAAGGGCTTTAGTATAGGCAGATAAAGAGGAATCGGGGTGGCCAAGTGCAATAAAGAAAAGAAAAAGGATCGGTGGCCGGGTGTGCTAAAGCACATTAGATCGGAGCACGTGAAACGAAAGCTCGCGCTGTATAACACAGGTACAGTGACCCAGGGATTCCTGGGTTCAATCCCCACCCCTGCCCATTTCGATCTAAATGAGCATCGTACCGGCGTGCGGTCGTGTATCACTACAGCGTGGTGCACGTTAAAGACCCCAGGCTAGCGGTTGTACTGCACTGGCTAAATTTCTCACCTACAACTGGGAGACAAGTCGCCCGTTGAGGCAGACTATGTTCTAGGCTGTATAAACATAGACAGACCCCAATTTGTTTCCGGGCAGGTTAGAGCCCCTTCATGTTTCAAAAGTAGCGCAATGTTCGTCGATGCACGAGGCGCGTACAACGTGTAGCCCTTGGGAAGATCATGGCGGCAAAGCCCAGCACTTTGCTAGATTTCAGACGCCATGAATTTCCCAGAAGGGGCGCGCGGCACGTGCCTCGAGCATTTCTACAACTATGGCTGTATACCAAATCTTACCCAAATGGATCCGTGTTACTTTGGCGGGTCGTGTCACGTGACAACATAGATTGAAAAACGCTGGACGCTGATAGGTTTTAGAACGCCAAGGTACAAAACACTTACCCTGGAGTAGGATGAAGTAAACTTTGGAACACGGCCAATGAATGGCGCCACTTTTCCCAGGATATAGGGGCTTTAAGGCAGGTAAGGTAGCAGCGCTTCATTCCACCGTGACATAGTAAGATCACTGTTGAAAGAGGTGTTCATAACGGACAATAGCATAGTGAACTCCCGAGGTTACTTATGAAGACACGAAAGTTATTTAGAGGTGATTCGATTTTGCCTAAAAATTAGAAAGGCGATAAAAAAAAAAAAACAAAAAAAAAAAAAAACCTACGCCTCACCTTAGGTAGAAACGTATTTTCTACCTATTGAATGGCCCGTCGGTTTTCTTAGTAATCCGCAAAACTGGAAGTGTTAAATTTACAAAAAAATTGTTTCAGGCGCTAAAACGCTAACGTCAAAATTCAACTTGCATCTCAGTTTAAGCACATGTTTGTTAGTTAAGAAAATATATTGTAATTGTTCAAAATGATGGAAATCATGCTTCTTTTTCGTTTTTTATATCGACTAGCCACCAAACAAGGTCTACAGAGAATGAAAATATCTGAACTAGTGTTTCATAAAATAAATGTTGTTCGCAACTACAATTTTACCCTTCAAATTTGCAACTCATTCAACTATTTTTTTTTTAATTTCCAAATACATATTAGTAGCTAGGTACCTTCATGTGCGCTTTGCTTAGGGTGGAGACATCTGGCCATTTTGTCCCACACATTTATTTTTATCTTTTTGTTCAGAAGCGCGTGAAAGAGCGTGTCCCGGCACGCGTTTGTGGCGGTGACTGTGCTATTTTACCCATGAGCGTGTGCTGTCGCTCGGCATCGGGTACTACAAAGGGTGGCCTCACCATAAGCAGAAGGACATCGAGGCACCCTACATATTAGGATATTTCTGTTCAACCCTGCACGACCTTAGGATGCTTACGAGCAACATTGGTAGCGTATGCAAGCGTTTGACCACGCGCGCTAACATAGCACATACAAAAAAATAGAATCAACAAAAGTTTTGCCTTCAGAGCCTTATCAGGCCTTTCGCTAGGAGTCTCCTTATGACTATTTACACTTTTTTTGCAACGTTCAAAAAGAGCCGACCAACGGACCATCAATTGTAATTCTGTTGTGTCTATGTTTATACAGCGGTAAGTTATTCAGCTCTGAGGGCATCTTGTGTCTTCGTTGGAGAGGAAAGACAGTGCAGTATACCGCTGCTTGTCTGACGACTTTAACGTGCATCACGCAATAGTGATACATGACAGCACGCCGGTACGATGCTCATTCAGATTGAAACGGGAAGAGGCGGTGGATTGAATCCACGATCAGCGAGCTTTACAGCGTGAGGTTTCGCTACACGTGCTACCGATCCTCGAGCAACGAGACATCGCAGTCGAATTCGAGCTCGAGAGAAAAACAACAGCAACAACATCAAGAAAATATCCGGTTTGAGGCATTTAGTACGGAGTAGCCATCTTGTTTAACAACTTGGAAATAAAATTAACAGGGTGATTTTATTTACACAAATACGCAAATACCACACTATTATGTTTTATCCTCATGGTCTTAAAATTAAGATTAGAGGCACGCCTAGTGCGTACGGCCAAGCGTTTTGTAACGTTTGTCTTCTAAATAACTGTATTTTCAAAAATGCCTCAGACGCGCTAAAAACAGTCAAACGGTCATATTTCTGGATTTTATTGAAAATCTCCAGCGCTCCCAAAGAAATCGTTAAGGGCCGTACAACATTCATTACGTTATCATAAGTAACCTCCAAAAGAATGAATACTATCGTGCATTCCTGAAACTCAGGTGCGTCTAGCGAAATTTGCCCATTGAGTGACGAGCGGTTGAATCCCACTTAAAGGGGCCATGAAACAAATTTTGGGCTGGAATAAAGGATTTTAAATTGGCACTTTACTAATCGCATATCGTTTATTTGGCCAAAAGGAAGAGGGTAGAAAGTTAAAAGCCAGCTTTTCGGTACGAACATTTGAAAACATAGCGGACTATTTTGTTCCTTCTTTTCTTCGAAAGCTCTCAGCCTTTTCACTATGATACATCCGCGGTTCCCAAAGCGCGTCAGCGGTGCCAACCTGACGTCAGCCGAGCCCAGCTCACGCATTGGACACGAGAATGCCTCACTCGGACGTATGCACTCGTCAACAATAAATCCGTCGAGGAATATTCGGATTGGCGTTCGTGACCAATGAGTGCCCTGACGGAACTTATCGTCACTGGCGAATGACAAGTTCTAGGGTGTGCATAAACAGCACGGTGGAAGCTAGGAATCATCGCACCGGTGCCGAAGAATGTCACGACGACGTGATTCCACAATTCGCATTTGAGTTGAGGGTTAAAGCTAAGGAAGAAGAAGTAGGAAAATTGTTTCATGACCCCTTTAAGCGTTCGGTGGCGGCGTGAGGCAGACGGCTGTGCACAAGAGGTCTTTTGGTGTCTCGTGCTCTACACGCGCAGAGGTCTAACAAGGTTGTCGCGCGCGCAAAAAGACTAAAGTTCCCTCGATGCACCGCGGCAGTGGTGGCGTAGTCAATCTGGCCCATGAGATTGGTCTATTGGAGACACGAATAATTATAGTATTCATACGTAACGTAAGAAAACGTAAGAAAAAGGTGCTGCGTGGGCTGGTTCGCAGATTTTCGACAGTTGCATTCACAACAGCCGAAACGACTGAAACGACCAAAACACAGAAACAACCGTAGCTCATGAATCACGATTCTTTCGTGAAGCTGCCACTTGCGTCGCTTGCTAGGGTATGTACGGCGAACACTTGTCCCGGTGGCTTGATCGTTTTTTTTTATTTCGGTTGCTGCGACGCAACCGAAAGAGATGTGTGAGCCAGACCTAAAGGCTAAGGCGTAGAGATGTTGAAATAACATCTGCCCATAATGTCGTGCGCCGCAACTTTTGACCTTTCATGACAATTGTGTAGCTTAACAATACAGTATCTTCGACAAGGCCAACAGAAATGACGCCGCAGGTATAGCTTTCGGAAAGGCGTTGAAAATAAACAAAACCAAAATATTGGTGCCGAACTAGAAACGTCCAGCACTGAAGTATTCTGAGGTCTTTGGATAAGACCGGTAACCGCCAGGAGCCTTATGTTGGGTTGCCTCCTGTTGGTCAGCACGTAGCCGTTCATATATAGTGCATTTAAGGCGTCACGTACATCTGCTGTTCTACAAAGTTTTAACACAACATGGACATATTGACAAAAAATCGATTTTATGACATCTTTATGCCCTTGGCGCTTATTTTTGGTAAGTACACGAGGAGAGTTTCTGACAAATTTTGATGCGTATACTATGTTTCATGGCGTAGATCTTCCTTGGAATCTGATTTTTCTCAAGTGAATATTGTAATCATCTCATTGAAACCGACATTATATCTGCTAAATATTTATGAAAAATTGTTACACAGCGGCGAAACTTGAATGAAGTCATCACGCTGAAGAAAGTTTCGTCGGGGTCATCATATCTTCGTAATCCCTACGAGAAACAGAAACAACAGTGAAGCGTCTGCGCATGCGCATGGCCTACAGCAGCGCCACCGCAGCTGCGTGCCGTCAATTATAGCAAGTTCGTTTCACACGCACTGGCAGCATTCGAGTTCTCTCCCAGAATGCATCGCACTCGCAGTGTGTCGCACCGAGAACTGGACTCAAACGAACTCGACAATGGACTGAGTGCAGAAGACTGATGCTGCCGCCATTTATGTTGTAGAAAAGCTACTGACCTCAAAACAAAACTAGCGCCTTTCTTTTCGGAGGGATGGGTGGGAATGCGAGAGTGCACTGGCTGTCAATGTTTATCTATAAACGTTGGTCGCTGCAACCCGTAGTTTATTTGTGCGATGACTTCAAGCAACTCGGCTGTCGTAAAGATATTTACAGACGGCGTAAATTTCCGCAACCAGCTGCCTACTAAGCAGGTGGTTGCGATCTTTCAATTCTTATAACAGTTTACACTGAAGAAAACTGATGATCCTGCCCGAGCAGAAGATTGATCTGTTTGAGCATGATATTATGCATGAAGCACTAAAAGGGTACGGCTTAAAACTAGTGTGTTGGAATACCGATTCAGCAAAACGTTTCGTGGGACTTTCGATTTCTATCGTCCTTACAGGTGGATCAGATATTAGCCTAGTTGAGGGTGTCGAGAACTAGAGCTTTCTCAAAGTACGACGGGTAAAGACAGCTGACGTGGTAAACATTAAACATGGTGATGTTGCCCAAGGCTCGGGTAAAGACACTATTTTAGCTTTCTCTGATGCTTGTTGGGCAGTCACAGGTTTCTGCTGGGGAGTTTTGTCGGCAATTGTTAAAATTTTCACCCGCACACGGATGGTGATAAACATCTTGGGGGCCGCTGATGCGTTTGTTCTGAGCGTGTCATTACGCACTGGTATATTTCAGCGTCTGTACGGCAACTGAGCGACTAAAAACTTGCAAATAAAGCATGGGTTGTCATTTGCTTCCTTCGTGAAATATCAGACGCTCACAATTCAAGCTCGCGTTTGATTCCGTTGCCCGAAGGACACGATTTTTATCAGAAAATCAATTTTTTTCATTTCGGTTCCGCTGTACGAATGAAACATCGTAGCAGACAAACCCTCGTCATCTCCACCGTTCCTTGCCGAAGCGAGGCATGGCGGGATTGCACCTTGGCGCACGTTCGATTTTCTCGGTGAAGCGAGTGCATGCACGCGTGGGGTGTCGGTGCTGAAACAAACTCAGAGATTGCAACCACTCGTGGAGCGACGGCCTAAACGAACCCGCTCCACGCTGCGAGTGGGCACGCGTGGGCACGAGTGCCGTGAAACGAACTGGCTATTAGTGTGCTTGTGTACGCGCCTCGTCTGCCGATGGCACACAAAACGTAAGAACATATCCGTTCGAGTAATATCCAATTAAGATGTTATGCTCCTCTCCTGAGGATGTTGTAAAAACATAATGCGGTAAACAAGTCGTCTACTTCTTGCGCAGAGGTTTCGGTGACGTCATAATGACGCCGAGTTCCGATTGGCTTTGATTGGAAGGTAAGTAGGTAGACGTCAATGCTAGATGCCTTGACGTTTACCCAATATCGCTTTCAATGAGCTAATTAGAGCTTGGCGTGCTGACATCATCGTAACTCCTGTGCAAGAAGCAGATGAACTTGCGATCTGCATTAAATTGGTAGAGAGCTGCTTTTGCGAAGATGGAGAATATGTGTTAGTAATGATGAGCAAGAAGGTTTGAGTGCAATCATATTTTTTTTAGCTGGAATATTCTGTCTAAAACATTTATCGTTACTAAGAACAACTGGAGTGTTGATCATGACGTAGAAAACCCGAGACTGTGGTAAAAACAGGAAAACTTTGTCGAAGAAGAAAGACAGGGGAAACAAACGTCTCAAACTCAGTTACTGCGTTTATTTTCTCAATGTCTTATATACCCACAACCTAACCACCGACCGCCGACGACTCAAGGTCAACCTTTGTTATCTATACAATCCTACCCACACTGGTCTTCACCTCAACCGTAAACGGTGACCCCAATCGCAAATTGAAAGCTTAGGACTGGAGTGTGTGTTCAGATAAGGAGAGCCAAAGGGGTGTCATGTCTATATTTCATGTTTAGTTTAATTTTTATGCGAGATAGCAAAACAGGTCCACACAGCGGGACAGACCTTACTTTCGCAAGACATTTCCTTGTTCTCGTGGGAAAAGATGGCGTCTGAGAGGGGATGGAACTAGAAATTTTCCGATTGCGCGCTGATGCAATTTTGAGTGCTACATGAATAAGAATGACAACTTTCAACGCCGTAATTTTTTCATATGTAAAGCACGCACGCTTGTCTTACAGACTTGATTAAATTTATTGCATTTAAGTTTATATTTAAAAGAGAAATGAATGGTAAACGTTGCTTCTGGTGCAACTTTTTTGTATTGAGGCATTGTTTTGTATTTTTATAACACACTCAAATCAAGTTTAGGCATTTCGAGTGCACAAACGACGAATACAGTGTTCGTGCTTTTGTCTAGGAGAAATCGCCTTTTTTTTTAATAGTCAGTTCTTTGAACAACCAATCGGTAGGCTTAGTTACTTTTATGAAAATAATTACGCAATATAAAGAAGTTATTTTTACAGCGCTATCGTTCCCAAAGGTAGTGTTTGCCGCTCACTGCAAAATAGGGGGGCTCACATTCAGGAAGGGCCAAGTACATATTGTGCAACTAATTTGATTTGTGTAAAAAAAAATATTGGCAGCATGATGTGAATGTACTGACTGATTTATTTTAATGTTGTTTGCTGGTTCTATTTGCATATTCACATGAAGTCTCTGCATATGAAGGACGTCACCTAGAAAGAACCTTTTTGCCCACTGGCAATAATGCATATTTTAGTATTAATATATTTTCTTACTCACCTTTCGAGACGGCATGCCAGCATGCGGCGTTGAGTTGAGCTCAAAGCGTCCACGTTGCCATAGCCCGTGACCCGGGCTCTGAGTAGGGCAGTCGGCGAGAAGGTCGGCGAAATAATCGACCATCGCTATCATCCAACGCCGCGTTTGACCTTGGCGCTGGCGAATGGATGTACGGCGATAGCCAATCGTGGCGGTCGGAGCTCTCGCCAAGTTTCTCGCCGAGTGTCCAACTTAGACCTCCGCTCCGACACACACCATTTATTGAATACTGAGCCCCTCACCTGGAAAAGCCTGTTGCTTCTCTCATTTATGATGTAACGACGTAATATTAGTGACGAGAAAAACATGTCGCCTGCCATCAGACGTCATCAGAACTTGGCGTTGGAACGGGGTCCTTGTTCACGCCTACTACGGTGTTAAACCAAGAACCCACAGCGATCAACTAGAAGAGTCACAATTTGAACGACAGCCATGAAACAGCATATGCTGTGGTTTCCTTGACTTCTCGACGTAGTTAGAATATAAGTAAATAGAAATGTGGCCCGTAGGGACGGTACTTCTGTTTAAAGAGGAATTCCAAATATATTTATGCCTACATTGATTGGTTCGAGAAGTCCCTCGTTGCAAATGGCATAAACATAAAAAAAAGTTAGCTACGTTTTAACAGTTATCGGAGGTCGAATGTACAACTCATAAAAATATTACGCTGGAAGATGAACCAACAGTGTCGGTCAGATCATGAATTGCTGGAAAACGTAATTTCGAACCTCAAGAGTTTGGTCAATTTGCAATTTGAGAGTTTGTTTTATAAGAGCGCTTAGCGAGAGATTTGTGGCAGGCTTGTCACAACAAGAAACTCAGGAGGCGTTGTTTGTGATTCCCGCAAAATAAAACTAAGTTTCATTGCCGCTTTTAATCTTGTACGTGAAGAGAAAGTAGTGCAAACCAAATGGCGGATATGGTTCATGAAGCAAAAATCGTAAGTGCTATTAAGCGAAATGCGGCGCCGGTAAAGAACATGGGAGACTGGGACCGAAATTCTTACAGTGCGGGCGAGAAGGGGCATACTGAACATAATAATAAACCCTGGGATTAGAGTGGAATACACTAAAGCAAGTAAGGGAGACAGAGAATGTGTCCCACACTTTACAGTACACATTTTGTTATTGTTGAAATGAGCATGATTCCTTGACTGCCATTTTAAAAAGTAGTGATGGGAGCATCTGAGGGCAATCTGTCACAGCTAATATAAAAGAAAAAACAAAACAAAAAAAACAGAGGGCCACGTTTAAGTTTTTGAAGATTAAAAATGACGATGAGGTGGACGCATAGTGTCTGTGTACACTTAAAATATTTATTGGGATTTATAGGTGGAGTTAACATGAAAAGAGCTTCTCTGTTCTGGTTCAATAATTCCGGAGCGGCTGTTTCCATCCGCCCAAAAAACGAGACGTTTTCGCTAGACACAGTACGTCTTCGAAAGACCCCATGACATAGTTCGTGACTACTAAACACAGGTTCTCATCATCAAAAAAAAAAAAAAAAGGAAAGCCCTTTAATGTTTTTTAAAGCAGCTCTTATCCTTTGCCCCTCAAGAAATCGCTGATAGCATAGTTGCGAAAGGTTCAAATAATGGAATTGTATACTTTAGTTCAGCGCGTTAGTGATAAAGTGAACGGAATCTTCCGTCGTGTGTTTTAAAGCGACTTGGCCACTTTTTTTTTTTCTTTTTTTTGTAATAGCGAAAACGGAGGTGAAAGCCTTTGGCTATGCCCGGGGCTATAATGTGACCATCATTTCTATTCTCACTATAAATAACTTTTATTTTCCACACTCGCTAGATATATTGA